AACTACTGTAAACTTGCAATCTCTAACTATTTCATATGACTTTGTATGTCTCCCCAACTAGCTTCCTTCTTTGACCTAGGAACCTTGTCACAATCACTTTGTTTCACACTAAGCATCTAGTATGTTGCTGGTCTCATTCAAAGAGTTCATTAAATTCTTGCCAAGGTATTTTAAGTTCAGTACATTGAGATACAGTGATCATGTCTAGAGATAGGATATGCTCCTACTTTTTAGCCTTTTAATAAACTATGAAATATTGACTTTCAAAGAGGAAACTTTCATTTTTTATTTCCAGAAATATGAAATTTGTAGCAAAAAGTCCTCTTTCTTTTTTCACCTTGTTATGAATTTACAAACCAAGTAGATTGTCCAGTAAAGAATCTTTTGTATTGTTTAACTGTTTATCAATTTATTAACTTGCTGTGTATGAGGGGTCTTCAAAGAGTTCATGGAAAGATCTGTATTATCTTTTAATTCCATTTTTCCATAAACTTTTGAAGTACCCTCGTATTGTTGAGCAAGTCATTTTATTCATCTACATCTTAATTTGTCATCTGCTAACTGATTTCTAAATTCTCTTCCAGCTTTTCAGGGTATCTGATTCTAGAATGCATATACGAGCAATATTTTCCAAAGCTAAACAATGATCATCTCAAACAGTTTAATTATCTATGACTATTCAATCATGCTCTTGTTAAATGTTATTTCATGGCTCGTCTTTGTCTTTTAGTCTTGGCTGAACGTTTACTATTGACTCCTGAATCACTTAAAATTTCCATCAACTCTAAATGTCAGTGTTTGCATTTACAATGGACCGTCCACAACTTTCCTTATCATCAGGAACTAAAAATGCTGTTTCAGATACAGATCACTAGAATTGAAACATCTAATGTCACCTGGGTGGTAAGTATTTTTTTTTTTTTTGGCTCAATATTTTAAAAATCCTTTTTCTGATGCCACAATTTTTCTTTTACAATATCCAAAACAATCTCAATATGAATACACATTAGCAGCTCAAAACATTTTCCTGAAACAATTGCATTTCAGTGGTTTTAGTTAAGAGGATCCAGGACAGAGTAATGTGACAAATTTGGTTTAGAGGTAGAAAGGGATGTGTTAAGAAACTAGATTATTTTCTCAGTTCTGCTCTGTTCTCTTAAGAGGGCTGTTGGGTCTGTCCTTGTGAGTATTGGATCCCAGAGATCATGAAGATCAACCATCTCATTTCTCTTCCCTCTTTCTTCTCTGTCTACCAGAGATTTTCCTAAGCCAGATGTAATGATTTGGCAATATTTTCTTTGCCAGTGTGGCTTGCTGCAGTTTCCTTGCTCATGTTATGCTAAAATGCAAGGAAGAGTCAGTATTTGCACTTGATGTTCTAACCAGCAAACAGGTTCTCCATGGGCCATGTTGGAGAGTTACTTACTGTGTCCTTTGTTACCTCACATGTGGGTTTTCTACAAAAGAAATTAAGACAAATCTTCATTTCACTCTCTTTTTGTCTTTGAATTATTCGGGGTAGATTTTCACTCATCTTGGTTCAAGTAATGGCTGTGTGGGTTGGCATGATGCTTCCTAGTCTTGTGCATTGGGATGCATTGGTGGTTTCTTTCCATTAACATTTCTGGTCTGGACAATCTTAGTAATCTATACCCACATAATGCTGAGTCATTATCACAGGATACTTAAGGACAGTGGAATGTTTTCTCATAGAAGGGACCTGAGAATTTGCCTGCAGGTAAGGAAAGCACAGGACTGTATTGGGGGATTCCATTAGCTCAGTCGAGGTCTACTCTTCTCTTAGGCAGTGGAGGTATTGGGTACAGGGATCCTGAATGGTTAGTTCCTTTAATAAAGCCTAAAGGTCACTAATTCTAAAGCCCATTATCACAGGATACTTAAGGACAGTGGAATGTTTTCTCATAGAAGGGACCTGAGAATTTGACTGTAGGTAAGGAAAGCACAGGACTGTATTGGGGGATTCCATTAGCTCAGTCGAGGTCTACTCTTCTCTTAGGCAGTGGAGGCATTGGGTACAGGGATCCTGAATGGTTAGTTCCTTTAATAAAGCCTAAAGGTCACTAATTCTAAAGCCTTTCAGTTGCTTTTCATATCCATTATTACATTTGAGATCTGAGCAAGCAGCCTGGGTTATACAAAATTCTGACGCTGTCCATTTAGGATTAGTATCAGGACTATAATTCTACTCTTCAAAGGGCAGATTCCCACAGTGAGCACTGCTTATTTTAAATTAGTCATGCTTATGTGTCCTGTTCACTCCCCACCATCAGCACGTCTTCCGTTATCCCTCCTCATACTAAGAAGTCAGGTTTTTATAGATTTGATGGATACACTGGTTGGTGATTTGGGCCCAATAAAACACTGAGCCAAGGTCATATTAAGGCTAAGAATTGTCCCAGAAAAAGAAATTTGGGGGAACTGCTGAAAGAATTGTGGAAAACTAGCACTTAACGCCATTAGCAAAAATAATATCAACCATAGTCCAAGTGGATCCCATTCCTTATTTTTGTAAAAGACTGTTCATATCTGTTATTATACTAGAGAAAGTAATGTTAACCACAGACCAAGTGTATCTTGTTCTGTATTTTTCTAGAAGACAGTTCATATCCGTTATCATATTAGAGAAAATAATGTTAACCATAGACCAAATGGATCCCATTCTTTGCATTTCTAAAATGCAGTTGTTCCTGTCTGTTTTTGCACTGGATTCATGTAATTGCCCTCTCCACAAGGTAGAGGTGGAGCAGCTGTGTAACCTGCTTCTTCTGTAACTTACTAGGGTGTGAAATCCTTAAGAGTAGAGTCTGCCTTGTCTACTGTATTGTCCTAATAACACCCAGCCCAACCTGACTCCAACAGAAAAGAAAACCATGGCACAGAGAAGTTTGCTGTACTGCTCAAGGTGACAGAGACAGGCAAGGATAATGGTCACATGTGACTTCCCCAGGACATCAGTGCTCATGTGTTCCATAGAATAGCTAATGCCAGGAGAAACCCTTGTCTGAATCTCTCATGCCTGCAGTCGAGGAGGGACATAAGATCTTCCTCCACTTAAAGAAGAGAAAGCCAGATGAGAGAAGCTGCTTCTGTCTGGACCAAAATCTCCCTTTCATAGGGCAGTTCCGTGTAATGTGAGCCTGACAGCCCCCCGCCTTCACTCATGCTGAGACGGGGCAGCTTCTAGACTCAGTGTCTCGGATCACTGTGTTCCCAAACAAGTTGAAGGAAAAGCATCTTGATCCAGGTGCTGGCAGTGGGGCCAGGGGCACCGAGCCACCTCCTGGATGGCATGGGCCACGCAGAGCCCTGCTGGCAGCACACTACACGGTCCTGCCCTGGGCCAGGGTTCTGCCTTTCCCCTCCAGCCATTTGCTTTATGATTTTGTCAATGGCAGAGGAAGGCAGAGCACAGTAACAGCCCAAACTTGGAAGGAGGCCTGAAGCGTGAGTCAGTTTAGAATTAGAGCTCATGCCTCAGTAATGAATTGGTGACCCCAGTGAGACTTCTGTGTAAATGTATGTGCCAATTTCTTGTAACTTACTAATGTCTGCGGGGGCCAAATTAAACTTGCTGCTTCAATGAATGAGATGGCCCAAAGACAATTCATCCCATTTCTTAAAAAAAATCACTGAATGGATGTATTCAAGAAAAGTTTTATCTCCTTCATTGGCAAAGCTGTAAAGACCACAAAGGACAAAGCTGAGGTTAGACAGAATCTACACGAAAAGTGTCTGGGAGAAATCCAGTCACTACGGATCAGTGAAGTGATGACATCATCCAGCACACAGTTGCAGGCTGTGGGCCCGGTCAGGCATTGTGCAAGGCCTGGGGATGTCAGTGCTGAGCACACTGGCAAGAATGAGGAGGTAAACACAGAAACGAGGGCAGCGTAAACGTGGGATGGATGTGCAGGCCTCTGGGGAGTGCCATGGGGTTGCGGTTCGGCAGTTCTTGGGAGTGAAAAAGGAGGTGTGTGAATAAAAACCCCTCAGAGCTGCGTTTAGTTCTGCCGTGGCACTGTTTAAGGTTAGTGACCTGGAAAGGGTAAATGGGGGAAGGTCTCCAAGTGCTAACTTCCCAGTGGCATGTGAAATGAAGTTATCTGCTCCCTTCACTGAGGGCTCATCATTTGCCCTAAGAAGCGTGGATGCAGACCCAGACTCAGTTTCCCCCAGGAAGTGCAGATTGTTTGTTGTCTCCACCTCCCAGTGGTGGGGGCAGGAAGCAGGGGTCCTAGAGGAGGCAGACTGAGGAGAATGGGTGCCAGGAGCTATGGGAGACACAGAGAAGAAGCAAGCACAGTTCCTGCTCTCTGGCAATACCCGAGTCACAATGAAATACCACCAACTAACCTCAGTATACAGAGCTTCAGGGAGGTGGGGTGGAAGGAGCAAGAAGGCCTTTCATGAGGGAGACAGGCTGTGACCTGGGCTTGAGGGATAGGACAGTTTCCCAGTATAAAGGGGGTGGGGGACACTAAGCCATGAGCCAACACTGAAGTATAAAAGCACAAAGCATATTCCAGAAGTGCGGGGTAGAACCTATGTCTGGAGAGATTTCTGCAACAGACTGGTAGGTTGGAGCCATATTGTAGTGGGCCTTGAATGACAGGGTACAGTGTAAAGGAGTCAATGAAGAGTACTGAGTTAGAGAGTGGAAATACCAGTGTTTTAGAAAGATTAAGACTAAAGGCTGTGCTGAAAGACCTAATTACACTTCAACTTGGACCCCAGCTTCCCAGAGAACAATATAAGACATTCTTGGTGATTGACGGACATCTCTAGGGCCAAAGATTCTGACAGATGGATCTCAAAGGAGGGGATATGTTCCATGTGGCCACCATATCTAAAAAGAAAAAACAGAAAACCAAGGGAGACATAAAGAGCCATCTGTTGGCTTCTGGAAGACAATGGAACTCCCAGGGTATCATGAAGGACTGCCCTCTCTACTGAGATTTGGCCAACCTGATTCAACTCTGGTTAAAAATGAATATAAAAAGTACCCATCAATCTTTTTTTAAAGGATGAGTCAATTAATTAATTCACTAGTTTTCAAGAGTTTTCTTAGGAAGTTTTCTGTGCCCAGCACTGTGAAAACCTACTGTCTCTGATCTGTTTCCCCAAGACTTGATAGCTTCTATTTTCTCTCCCACTTGCTTCACACAAGCCCCTGGAATCAGAGTGCCATAGGGATGTGGAGCTGAGTTTTCAAAGGCAGGAAGTCATAGCAGGCTCATGGTTGAGACATTGGAACAAGGGAACTTGACCGGTTAGGATTGGACTTCACTTGTGCATATTATGGACTCACAATGGCTTTTAGGTTTTTGCTTTGGGTCAAGTTAAGTCAAGCTATTTTCCAGGACAGGATGGCTGTATGTTTCCAAAATTTTTCCTTTACTTTTAGAGGAATTATAGCACTACTGTGAGGTGGAATCAAGTTCTGCATTGGAGCTGGGAATCCGAGCTCCCTTTGGAATGTGCAACACACTTTGTAAGAATCAGGAGTCGGGTGGACGATGCCAAGTTCCCTGAGTTGAGTTTCTGGAGCAACTGGAGTTCATGGGAAGAAGTCAGTGGTAAGAAATGAGGTGGTTACAAGAGTGAAAAGGTTTAATATTTAAGTTTCATGGGGATCAATTGTCGAATAGTGGAAATCTCCTTTGAGGAACCCTGGGTAGACACTGACATCATTTTCATTTGGCTCCTACTGAAACTAAAAACCACGGGTGTGAAACTTGCCACTGGAAGATAAATGCCTGAGGTTTTGCTTCTGAACTTATTCATTGAGACAATTGTGCAAATACAATTTTGTATTCACTTTCCAAACGTGTAAAGCAGCTGTATTTTAGAATGCTAAGTGGACAAAGCAGGATATAAATTGTACATGTGTTTTTATTAGAGCAACTCAGAATGTGTATGGATCTAGAGTGGAGGTTGGGAAATTTTTTCTGTAAAGGGCCAGATAGGAAATATTTTAGCCTTTTCAGACCATGCAGTGTCTTTGTGACTCTTGAACCCTGCCCTTGTAGGGTGAAAGCAGCCATATAAATGAGAGTGGCTGTGTTCATAAGACTTTATTTACAAACACTGATGGCGGACCATCCCTAATCTGTAGAGAAGGGGAGAAATAGGAAAAAATAAAAGCAGCACTTCATTTGAGTGATGAAATTATGGATAAACATGTTTTAAATATCCCTTAATTTTGATAACTTAATATTGTTGTAATTAAAATTTAAAGTTTAGAGTGAGTTTGATCATGATTTCTTATGCTCCAGTTAAACTATAGTCCAGTTCTAAAGCAATGGCATTTGTCCATCACACTGTATACCTGCCAGATTATCTGAAATTCTGTCAATAGAATCATTTATTTGTTAAATATTTATGCAAATTTGTTAGTTCAAGCTGATAACCCATTAACTCATGAATAGCCTAGTGATTAGATTAATAGTAATAATAGAATTAAATCTACATTCTAGACACTGATTTAAGTCCTATGTATATTAATTTAGTCCTCACATTAGCCCTGTGAAATAATATGAATATTCTTATCCCCACTTCAAAGATGAGGAAACTGAGGCACCGAGAGGTTAGAAAACCCATGCAAGGTCATCAAACCACTAAGTGGTGGAGCTGGGATTCCAACCTGGACAATCTGGCTCTCGAGGCCATGCTCTTAACCATTACATCCTACTGCTGAAAGAGGGACACACAGACGGAAAAAAATAGAGATTATAAAGACAGTAAGAGAGAAGAAAGACCAAGGTTGTAAACAACTTTGATAAAATGGACTCAATTTCTCAAAACTATAACCTCAAAACTAACTCAAGAGTAAATAGGAACTTGGTTATTCCTAACCCATAAAACATCGATTTTCAACTGTGGTTGCACAGTAGAATCATCTGGGGTCCTTAAAAAGCCTCATGCCCAGGCCACACCGTAGGCATGCAGTCGGTGATGGCAATTGTAGTGACCTGTGTGCCAGACTGCATTGGCTAAGGAGTGAGTAGGTGGTCAATTCTGAACAGCAAGTCCAGGCAGCTCCTCCAGGGAGGCCAACTGGAGGAGAGGCAGAGAGGGCAGCAGGGGGAGGCCTGGGGAAGACAGGGGGCTTCCTTAGATGGGGAGAGCCCTGAGGATCTCGGCCTGGCACTGGGCCCTGCAGCAGGAGAGACTGAAGCAAAAGGAGATGATACTTGAGTGATGGGCATTTCCTAGAAGGTGGGGAGAGCAGTGATGTACAAGTACAACATTGAGATTATGAGGCACATGTGGCTTTGGAGCCAGGTTGGCCTGGCCAGTCTGAATGTGGTTTACCCACTTACTAGGTGAGTGAACTTAGGCTTGGTTCTACCTGTCCCGTTGTTTAAGATAAGAAGGATGACATGAGATAATGTACATAAGCACTTAACTCGGAGCCTCCCACTTGGCTGGGACTCAATAGAGAGCAGCTAGTACTGTTATAATAACCTAACAGTAGCCGTCATACAGTGACCAGCAGTGATAATAGTAATGGGGCTATCTTTGGCAGTAATGGCAGCAGCAGTCATGTTAGTGTAACAGCAGGAACAACGGTGGAAAGCATTGTTTTGCATGCACCAGTGTGTTTAGTTTGGTGTACAAATTTAGGTTACAATTTTCTCCAGGAGGTAGAAAAAGCTAAAATTATCTGCTGGGAGTGAAGTGGGAAGGGGCTGGCTTGAATTCTGAGTGAGATTGTAACTGAGTTGGGTTTTCCAGGAGGTAGAAAAAGCTAAAATTATCTGCTGGGAGTGAAGTGGGAAGGGGCTGGCTTGATTTCTGAGTGAGATTCTAACTGAGTTGGGTTTTGATGAGATAATGTACATAAGCACTTAACTCGGAGCCTCCCACTTGGCTGGGACTCAATAGAGAGCAGCTAGTACTGTTATAATAACCTAACAGTAGCCGTCATACAGTGACCAGCAGTGATAATAGTAATGGGGCTATCTTTGGCAGTAATGGCAGCAGCAGTCATGTTAGTGTAACAGCAGGAACAACGGTGGAAAGCATTGTTTTGCATGCACCAGTGTGTTTAGTTTGGTGTACAAATTTAGGTTACAATTTTCTCCAGGAGGTAGAAAAAGCTAAAATTATCTGCTGGGAGTGAAGTGGGAAGGGGCTGGCTTGAATTCTGAGTGAGATTGTAACTGAGTTGGGTTTTTTTTTTTTTTTTGTCTGCAGTACAAAATTCTCTTGGGCAGGATACATTGCTTGTTTTCCCTAAAGATAAGCTAGTGGAAGAAGGCTCCAATGTCACCATCTGTGCCATTTCTCGGAACAATCAAAATAACATATCCTGTTATTTGGAAGGTGAACAGATACACGGAGGACAACTTAATCCATACGTATCCACATTCCACTTAAAAAATGTCCCTTTCATTAGGGAAAGAGGAACAAATATCTTTTGTAAAGGGAACCAAGATAATATAAAAGGCATCGTGCTCTTTGTCTCAAGTAAGTAAGCAAGTTCTTTTTTTGGCCCTCTTTTCTCATTTTCTGTAGAATAGATCGAATCTCCTTTACCAGAAGACAAGTAAACATTTCCTTGCGTGGTCTTGGTTTTCTCTTATTTCTCAGTCTTCTAGGAGAAATTCTGGAAATGATATCCTGAAGCAATACTTCCAGGATTTCCTGTTGTTTTCTTGTGCTTACTGGCAATTTTATTCCTAGAAATCAACAGTATTAATGGAAAGAAAGATCAGGTCATGACCTGGACCACTGGGAAAATTGCCTGCTTTGCCTCAGCTGTGCTGGGATTACCCAGGATCACGGAGGGAGAAGTGGGGCTGCAGACTGGATGACCACAGAAGGGCAGTGAGGGATGTGGCCTGGAAGACCTGGGTTCAAGTCTTCTTCCCCTGGCTGGGAGTGTCATCTTGGCCAAGTTTCTTAGCCATTCTGAGCCAGTTTCCTCCTCTGTTTTGTCATGCAATTTCCCTTCCCCTGGCTAGTAGGGCAGTATCTGTGACCTCTCTCTCCCTATTTCTCCTGCCAAAGGAGGTTTCTAATCTCCCGGAGGCTTGGTTCATCTCTGCCCCTTAGTGTGGCCATTAAGAGCAGTGGTGACTTTGGAGACTCGGAGATGCTTCCCCATTCCACCACTGGCACAACAGGAGAATCACAAGGGATGGGAGGAAAACGGACTGAGGTGATGAGGTGTCCGGCAGGTGACTTTTGGGGGCTACTGATGTGTAGACCACCTCAGTGATCCCTTCACAGTTCAGAGTAGCTCTGTGGCTTCAGACCCCAAACAGAGCTTTCCACTGGACTTAACCATTCAGTGAAGGGATTTAACTAGATTCCTTCTTCTGTTTTTTTCTTTGTATGGACAGAAATACTTGAGGAGCCCAAGGACTTTTCTTGTGAAACCCAGGACGCCAAAACTTTGAGCTGTACGTGGGATCCTGGGAGTGACACTGGCTTGGCTTGGTCTAAACAACCTTCCCAAAGCTACACTTTATTTGAATTGTAAGTTAGCTCTGGTTACATTATTGACAGATTCTCTTTGTTTAAGGTGCTTGTGAAACATAACAAAAGCTACACTTAGCTGTTGTAGAAAATTTGAACAAATATTTCGAAACCACCTCAGGGTCAGGAGGAAATGTTTAAGTGGTCACAAGTGTTTAATATTTTCTACCTGAGTTTTCTCTTTTTTTAAAAAAAGGAATATGTAGCATAAAAATGGTAAGGAAGACAGTAAATAGTGTATCTTGATGTGACAAAAGTCCCTTCTGATGATCTGGCTC